GTACAGACTTTCTTTTGGTCTAATTATTATAAGTCTTATATAATGTAAAAGGAAAATAGGTAGAATTATATTTCTAACGCTAGTGACTCACCCTCACTTCGCCGGGGTTCGTCCCTAGGTGATTTTTTTAAATTGACATAAGTTTTTTATTTATGAACCGATTGAAATAAAGCAAATACTATAAAATAAATAAAATATATATAATAGAATTTATTAATGAAAACCGCCCACAAATCGGTTAAGCCGTTTCTGAGATTAGCGCAAACAAACGCACAGACAAACAGACAAAAAATGTAAAAATCATTGTTTTGGATTCTATTGCATTAATAAAAAACCCCCAATAATAGTGTTTCTCAAATATCTTCCATGTACAAACAGCGATCAGTTTCAATTTTATTATATGCATAATGTAGGTCTAGATAGATGTTAAAGCCTTGTGTTTTTATTCTAGTCAATGTTAGAGAAAGGGTTTAATACACGATACTCGATAGTATCAAAAAACGACATGCAAATCCTAACACCCACAGCTCACAGCTGTTTGATAAAATACAACGAATGAGAGTGACATTTAATGGTTTAAACATGGTGTTTCGAAATAAAAAAAACTTAGCAGCTTTACGTAGACGTGCATGATATGTACATAATCGTCTTTGTATGGAGAAATGCTATCGAACAATTTGTATGGAATAAAGGCTTATCTACTTTTCACTTTTAGTTAAAAACTATATTTAGAAGGCGTAGAGTGAAAATATATAATATTTTTTGAGATACATTGAAAATCTGATGTAGTAAACAAATTTTTTTATAATTATTCGTTTATAAACCTCAGATTATGAACTCGAAATATTTGGGTGTGCTAATGGCATCCATATGAAACGTGAAACTTTAAGTTTGATAGCAGTACAGCTATTCAAACATGGACCGCTCGCTTGGCTCTCAAAACGTCATCAAGTTACTTGGTAGGCACGTAGCATTCGTGGAGTTAGGGCGAGCACGGGGGGGAGAAAGTACCGAAAGGGAAGGGGGTATCGGGTCTTTTTAGGGTGGGATGCTCTGCGACGTGACATTTTCGCAAACAAGCAACGAGGAGCGTAGAGAAATTTGCAACCTCGGCGCCAACCAGCGGTCGCCCGCGACGTTCAGCACTTAATAAAGGAAATCGATGAATAAATTCGGCGATACGCGTTTCGATACGTGCTCGAGCACCTCCCTAGAGCTCGCCATAACGTTCACACCCATTATACATACAGTTTGCATAAACAGTATGAAATACCAACAGCAATTAATATAGAAAATTGGCAGTTTAATGGCAATTTACCTAATGTAAGATTAGCATTGATGTTTATTTGAAAATTGCAAGCAAATTAAAATAATACTAGTTCAATCGTTAAGATAAATTATGTATAGTAAATCAGCTGGAAGTATCAATTGTAGATACATTACAGTTATTGTACGGCTATTTACTATCTCTTTTATAACATTAAAATAACGATGATCGCGATTTAGATTATTTTTAGTTATATACTAGCGACTCACTCTCGCTTCGCTTAGGTTTAACCCTACGTTTGGACGCTTAGTATGGAATAGAATTTTTTTTCGTGATTTTTTTCGATGTTTTAATAGTTATTCTGCTATTCGGGATGAGGACATATCCAACTAAACAAAGATCATAAAAATCGGTCCAGCAGTTCTCGAGTTATGAGTGTTGAAACAAACCCGACTTTGTTTTATAGATATACATATATATATTATATCTTCTTATTATTTATCTATTCTTATTATACCCTATTAAAGGAAAGTAACAAAATTTTATATATACGTTATATAGACACATTATATACACAATAATATTATATTTTCGAATACATCTATATTGGTATTTCATTAACGTAAATTTTATTCAGTCAAAGTACTTGTAAGTATGCAGTAAGCGCCTAGTATATAGATAATCTATGTGTCACATGGGGAGGAAGGCAGGAAGGAGGTGCATAAAGACAACGTCATGAACGTCATGAATTCATTCTCATTTAATCCTAACTTAAGCTGAGCTCTACATAATAACCAGACCGAAACAAAACACCTACTGCTTGTGTAAACGACATAGTAAGAAATAACATTTCTAAAGTTTACTGGCACTTTCATGTTTGCACGTCGATAAGTAATAGCCCATATTAATTAGAGGCAATATTTTTTTTTTATAGAAAAAAGGGGGGCAAACGAGCAAACGAACCACCTGATGGTAAGTGGCTATCTCAGCTCATGGACATCTGCAACACAAGAGGAGTTGCTTTAAGGGGTCTGAAGACACTGCTCTTGAAGACTCCCATGTTATAGCGCTCAGGGAAAACCTCAGGAAGAAGATCATTCCACATTTTGCACGTGCGAGGTAAAAAAAGAACGAGATGCACGAACATTTGTAGGATGCCAAGCATCGAAAATGTGTGGATGACTTGTAACTTACGATTAGTGAAATAATTTCTAAAATCGATTACGTATTCTTAAAATATAACAAAATGTAGAATATAACATAAATAAATATAAATACGTTGGGACATTAAGACACAGCACCATCTAGTTCCATGGTAAGCTACAAGGCTTGTGTTATGGATAGGTACTGGATAGTTGATACACTACACATATATAACTTAAAATATGTATACATAATATAAATATAAACACCCATGACTGGAGTACAAACATTCGTGCTCATCGCACAAAGAGATGCCCGCAGCGGGACTCGAACCCGAGACACAGCAAGCAAGGCCACTACAAACTGAGCCAAACGTGACGTCAAAACTGATTCAATATAACAATAGTATTATATTGAATCAGTACAACACATTAACCTATAGAACTTGACTGTAGTACCTACATAGTGGTTTATTCGCACAATCTGAGTTAATGCGTTCCAATGTTCTCTTAGTAATACCACGTACATATTTTATCAATTACTCGCCCGATGTGGGATGACGTCATTGTACTGCTCCGTTAGGAATAGGCCACTATAGAACCATACCTACATAACGGTTTTATGACTCCTAGTGGGAGTCGAATTGACCGAACATGTTCATCGAACTTTATTTGATTGATAATAACGATAAATATCAACAAATTGATAAAGTGGATATTATCAATTTAATCGTCAAAATAGTGCGGTTTGTAAATGGGTTACATAAAATAATGTTATTGCTTAAAACACTTTCAATTTTAGTTAGGTACTATTTGTACGTATGTATAGTAAAATTCTAACTGAGTCGAATCTGTAGGTATATTATATTTTTTTGGAAAATCTTATTGAAATTATCATTATTATCGATACAGAGGCCGAATCTATAATTTTGAGATTTTTTGTCTATCTGTCTGTCTTGTAAGAACTATTCACGATATGAACATTCAAGTTTTAGGACCACATAACAGACGTACCTATGCCTTATAAGACAAAAAACTTTAGAACCCATCGCATTTTTTCCAATATTCAAAGGCAATATGGAACCGTCGAGGCATATACATAACCGTTTGCCTTTATCCAATAAAAACCTCAAAACATATAAAGTTAGACGATCATAATAAAACGCGGTCTTAAAATCGCCCTTTCAACTATTTCACAAAATCGGTGCCTCCGGCGACGTGGCACGGTCTGAGAATTGCATTGCAAGTTAAATCGATTGGACTATCGTATCGATATTTCCATTACTCAAAAATAAATATGAGATGGAAAACTGCCATAAGATCGATTAACTGTAATTTTCTATGAGCTTTATATAAGCGATTTTTCATTTCTATTTAAGGATAACTGTTTTTGAACTGGAAATTTCTATAAGCCAAAAATATATTAATATAAGAACATCGGCTACTCGCCCGGGTATAAGAATTCCGTTTTTGGGAGTAATGAAATATATATATATATATACATATAACATATCTCTACCGTCGTAGTTTGAAATAGAATAACTTTAAACGAGCACAATACATATAATGTAAACAGTAAAATTATATAAAACATAACTACGGCTAACTCAAACTTTTGTTTAGACTAATCTGTATCTAACAGCACCGTTTATCTATCCCGGTTGAACAGCTAGTAAACTGGCCTAGATGACAGACGAAGGACTTAAGATGACAACATAAATTTAACTAAGCCTTCGAGCACTTTCGCTACAACTAGTAATGAAGAGCTATCTTGTTGGATGCTGTCCATTCATCAAATCCATAATACTCCGTTATCCGTGAGAACCGATCGTAGTCGGTGTCAAATAACGTTGCAATATAACTGTTTCAAAATATTGCTCAGTGCGACGACTTAAAGAAAATGAATGGAATTTGAAGTATTTAATTGGATAGCGGTGGCCCAGTGGTAACGCGCTCGATTGGGAAACCGAGTGAAGCGGGTTCAAATCCCGGGTCTCGCATCTCTGATATCTTCATGTTCGAATCATTTCCAACATTATTACCACTTGTGTTACGGTGAAGGAAAACATCGTGAGGAAATCTGCATGTCTGAGAGAACCTAGAAAGTTTTCGTCAGACATGTGAAGTCCGCCAACCTGCACTTGGCCAGCGTAAATTATATATATTTTGGAAATCGATAATCTTATATACAGAAATGATTTCGCAAAATTTTGATGAATATCGATGACTCGATAAAGATGACTATAGAAAATCGATGACTATCTACTTGCAGGGTCACACACTACTTTCATACAATTTATCCGCTAAAATGACTTTTATATAGTTAAAAATTAAATATTTGTTTCTATTCCATTCCAAATAATAATTAGTAATAACAACTAATATATAAAATTACCCTACTGAAATACCCAATTAAAAAGTAAACAAAGTTAAGTGTATGTACAGACTTGAAGTTATAAGTACATATACATATAACAATGTAGAAAAATGAGGTAAATAAATTGTAAACTCCTTGTACAATAAGTGAAAAAACGTCACTCAGTATCAAAAGTATAAAAAATTCAAAAGTTCCCATATTAAAACATAATCAGCATTTCGACATAAAAAAACAATCCACAGCAATCGAGTGTCATATATCTGAGAAAATGTTAAGGAATATAAGACAGGCTGCCTTTTGCGAGGATTATCACCAACCTGGCATTTTATTTATATCGTATCCGCAGGAAACAAGCGAGGTTGTGCTTTTAAATAGTACCTTGGATGGACCTGAGGCAGATGTGCACCGCAGAAGGTGCGCCGCGTGCCAGCTGTCGTCAGATCCCAACGTGCCATCGATGAACTCGTTTGATATTTTTATTGTAGACTATTTTAAACTACACAGTAAGCTTTAACTACTGGTTACGATGGCGTATGATTTATTAAATCCGGCTTTTAGGAACGAGCTAATTTTCTTTAGTTCATTTCATTTCATAAAGTATTCACATTTCACATATTAAGTGAGTTTTGACGATACGTTTGGCTCAGCTTGTAGTCCTACTTGCTGCGTCGACTGTCGCGGGTTCGAGTCCCGCTGGGGGCAGTAATTTGTTTGAGCACGAATGTTTGTTTATATTTATTATATGTATGTATTTAAAGTTATATATGTGTAGTGTATCAACTATCTGGCATCCATAACACAAGCTTCGTATCTTACCATGGAACTAGATGGTGTTGAGTGTTTATGTCCCAACATATTATTTATTAAAGTACATAGACAAGTTTAATATTGTAGTAAATAACAAAGGAACAGTAACACACCTTAACAGCGCCCATATACCTACAATTGATAAAGCATTTATCTATTATTATTATGTTTTACATATCCTATCCCAATAACACATATCCCCTAACAACCTGCGATCATTTGATTAGCCAACACATCACATACCAGTTCAAATAATGGAAGTTGATTTACCTGAAACAATAACATATAAATAAATTAGTATTGTGTATTATTTCCACTTAGTGATTACAATTGTATAGTCTATACATATAATAAAATTCTAACAGAGTCGAATCTGTACATTAAATATTTCTTGGAAAATCTTATTGAAATAGTCATTATTATCGATACAGAGGCCGAATCTACAGTTTTTGGAATTTTTGTTTGTCTGTCTGTTACCGCATCACGAGAAAACCACTGGACAGATTTTGATGAAATTGGTATAATAATAGCAGGCTATCTGGGTCAACATATAGGATATTTTTTACTGCAGGAAAATATCTCATCCCTGAGAAATCTATATTAAACGTTAAACAGCATCTAATAAATCAAAACTAATAACAAAAAATACGACAAAATTCATCGCACTAATATTTTTATTGCATACCTATTAATATATATATATATATATATATATTATATATATATATATATATATATATATAAGATAAATATTGTAAATGTGAAAGTCTATAGAAGACTGAGTGAGTGTCACTGGTCACATATTCCAGCATACGACATAACGGATTTCATTGAAAGACTAGCGACTACGTCGTCGTTCGTCCCTAGATACGTTTTATCGGTTAGTATAGATTCTAAGTGTTGATCCGGATAACCAGCTATCATCATACCAAATTTCATCAAAATCTGTCCAATGGTTTTCTTGTGATGCGTTCCCAGACAGACAGATAAAAATTTCAAAAAGTATAGATTCGGTCTCTGTGTCGATAATATAATGACTATTTCTATAAGATTTTCCTATTTAATGTACAGATTCAATTAGAATTTTGTATGGGGAAGCAACCCAGTGACGAAACCGAGCGAAGCGAGGGTGAATCGCTAGTTTCAATATATATAGGTAATGATAGCCTGATAACTAATTGTATAATAGGAGTAATTTTTTACTGCCAATGGCTTCTTGACCTACTAAATATTGACGAATCAAATTCTTGGTCATCAAAAATACAGGTGACATACTAAACTTTTACTCAATCTTGTTATCGAATTTGAGTTAAACGTGAATTTAGCACAAGTATTTGTTCTGGACAAAGCCAGTTTTGTAATATAAATTTGAATTGACGTACACTGTCGAATTTTCATTTTTTAACGATTAATTAGTGTAAAATAATTATAATAATAATCTTAAAGAACGCTCGTCGTGGCAAGTATATAAAAATTTAAATAACAGGCATTTGCATATTCATTACACATACGTATTATATTAAATTATTAAAGCGAACGTTTTCAAATGAAAAAAATGGCATTTCAACGTTACTATCTATACATATAATAAAATTGTAACTAAGCCGAATCTGTACATTAAATATTTTTTGGAAGATCTTATTGAAATTGACATTATTATCGATACAGAGGCCGAATCTATAGTTTTTAGATTTTTGTCTGTCTGTCTATCTGTCTGTCTGTTACCGCATCACAGAAATAGTATTGGAGAGATTTTGATGAAATTTGGTATGATGATAGCTGGTTATCCGGGTCAACATATAGGATACTTCTTACCGCGGGAAATTTCTCATTTCTGAGAAAAAATAAAAACTGTAATGTAAGCATATACCTACTAATATGTAAAACCTAAGAATTTGGTTTTTGGTCATCTGAACGCGGGCGGAGCCGCGGGCAATGCTAGTATAACTATAAAGGCCATATAATAATAAATTTTACATTCCGAAGTCCCTAAAGGTATGTGAAACCATATCTATCTATCAACAACATGTGATATTGCTCGCAACATCAGTATCTATGTTTGTTAATAAGGCAATTATTAAGTTGTAGTTGCGTCGGTCAACGGCGAGGTCGACGGCCTGTAGAGGGCAAGACTTAATCGGATCCAGGTAGAAACCTTGCACAAATACGTCACGTAAATGAAAATATATGTTGGATTCTAACATTTTTGATAATATAATAATAGTAGAAACAATTTATTTGGATATACATGAACATATTTTAGAGAAATCTTTATAGATCAGAAATTTTTGAACAAAAAAAAACCAGTTATAGGTACCTACATACTGCCGACTAAGATCTAAATAACATGAGATTATAATATAGATTGAATTTAGATAAATAACCTTAAAGGCTAAAAATCAACTAATATAAACCACTAACTGACTTGATATTTAATGAAATAAAACACGACAATCAGTAGTCTGAACTCGTATTCAGTCGAAACCTTTTTCTATATATAGGTACCCTTCATTAAAAGTACTTATGATGATATTTTGTATGCATTCAAAGCAATAAAAGACAAATAAAAGATCAACTAATCACGTTATCTCAGACACATTCATATAAATTTCTTCTACGTCTTATACTAAGGAAATTATAATAAGTAGTTTCGTTCGTTATCTTAGAATGGAGCTCTTTGATTTCTCGAGATATGTTTAGGTAAGGTTTATCATATTTTTTTTAACTCAAGTTCTCAAGCGTAATCATATCGAGTTACATCTAAATTCATAATGTAGTTTTTGCTTTTTATTCGGAACTCTTCCTCGTTTTGATATATGTATGTACGGTACATACATACATACGTACCACTTAAACTAAATGTTAGACCGTATATTGCTAAGTAATTTAAATTATCATGTCAAATTACATTACAAACTAGTGACTATCATGACACCAAATTTCATCAAAATCTGTCCAGTAGTTTTCTCACGATACGTTCCGCGCCAGACAGACTAAAATTCCAAAAACTATATATTTGGCCTCTGTATCTACTACACTACGAAATACTACGATATAATATGTAAATTACATATAATTTCTATATACGTAGTGTTTAGCTTATTATGTTTGATATTTACGATAGGCTTTTGTAGAAAACCTATACCCATACCCATAAATGATACATATACAATAATAAATTAACACTTTCAAGGAAACAATAAAAATATTAAAAACTATAATACTCTAAAGGTATTTTAATTATAATATTTAACAAAGAAAAACTACCTATTGGCTGTACAGGTGAATAGTCGTTATCTGCCACGCACGTTACACACACGAAGCTAGGTTTCATACTATTTATCTACGAAGCGAATTTTGTTTTTTAAACGATATTAAACGTGTTGTTTTAAAACAGAAATACTATATCTATACTTATAATAAAATTGTAACTAATACTAGCCAAATATGTTCATTAGATATTTTTTGGATAATCTTATTGAAATAAACATTATTATCGATACAGAGGCCGAATCTATAGTTTTTAGAATTTTTGTCTGTCAGTCTGTCACAGAAAAACCGCTGGAGGGATTTTGAATAAATTTGTCATGGTGATAGCTGGTTATTCGGGTCAACATATAGAATCCTTTTTACCCCGGTAAAATATCTCATTTTTAAGAAAAAATACAAAAAACTGCAATGTAAGAGTAGCACTAATATGTAAAACTGAACGCGGGCGGAGCCGCGGGCAATGCTAGTTATCCATAAATACATATAGTCGGCAGTGGTAGCCCAGTGGTAACGCGCTGGCTTGGGAAACCGAATGAAGCGGGTTCAAAATCCGGATCTCGCATTCCTGATAATTTCGTATGCCAATCATTTCTAACATGATTACCACTTACTTTACGGTGAAGGAAAACATCGTGAGGAAACCTGCATGTCAGAGATAACCTAGCAAGTTTTCGAAAGACATGACTCGTTGGCTCACTATTACAAGGTTCTATGTTACAATTTTAGTACTTATTTAATTATTAATGCTACAAGGTTCTATGTGTCATTAGCTACAGTTTTGCAAAAACAAACCACTAGATAGCGGCACTTTAACTACAAAATATTCAATTTTACATAGTTCTATGTTGTTTGTTTTACGATAACAAAATAACGAAGTTCTATGAAAAATTACTAAACTTCATTAAAATTAGCATAGAACCTTGTAATAGTGAGCCAACGAATTTGTGACAGTCGCCAACCCGCACTTAAAATAATATCAGTCGGCGAAATTCAAAGACCACATTTCCCATATAAAGTTATATTTTTACGATAGACTATTTCAATGGCCGTATTTTAAGAGTGCTATATGTACCTAATCGTATTATAGGAAAGATATAACTTAACTTAAATCATTTATTATTTACTTACAGGAGTTGAAAAATTACTTAACTTACATACCATCTTTAAAAATGTTGTAGCTTAAACATAGAACTTGGCCCATCACAAAATATAAGAACAAAATATAAGCAGAGAGGTTTAGTTAGAATTTTGAAGTTACACGAGATTTTTGATTTATGAAAACTTGTCAGGTAAATTTATAAGAAATTAATAAAATTCTAAGAAATCTATTGTTAACTATAACGCCGGCGTGTCTGCGGTAATGGGGGGATTATTCTATAAATAATATATGAATTTACATAAAATCACTATAATATTTAATAAGTACTTAATTAA